GTGGTATTGTATACACCATCCTACACATTTCTGCCCTTGTAGTTTTGTCATCCATGAAACCAGAAATTATATTTGATCAGGAGTATGGAAATTTTCATGGTAAATAAATTTATTCACAATAGTAGTTTTATTGTTTTCTTAGTGTACTCACACAAACTCTGGGTGCAATAGTAAAAGAATAGGTCAATGATCAGAAGTCACAAATAACGCGCAGATCCCAAATTCGAATTGCACTTTTACTTGCACAAAGCGTAAGGAATCCCTACAGAATGCAGAAACACAAATACATGAATTGGGATTCATTAGTGTGGTAAAAATGAAGCCTCCTTATTTTACACATTATTGCTATGTTATGATACATTCTGGCCTATCATGAATGCTTTGAGGCCAAGTAAGATTGCCCAGTATTCATCATCACTTCTCCAATGTAAGCTTCCAAACAAACAATTTTTCCAAGAAGGACTTTGTCGCTTTTACTTTATGAATGTATCTTGTACCTCAAGAACCACCTCCAAATCATGGGGGAAAACCTACATGGCAAAAAAGCCTGGACCATATCAGCTGCTAGGCCAGAAATGTGAGTGCAATGTGTGTGAACAGAATATCCAAAACTGAGAAGGCGTTTGCTCAAAATCTGGTAAGGCTGCAAATGAAGACAATCATCAGCCACATTAAACACTAACCAGGCAGTTACCAAGAGACCCTTGGGGGAGGGGGAAGAGAGGCAATCTAAGATCAAGTATAAAAAGCACTAGAATTCCTAACACTGAGAAGAAAGGAGTAGTCAAAACCTGGTCCGACACTGAGAAGATGCCCCCCTGGCACCTCAAGCTTTGTTAAAGCCTGAGGGAGCATCCTCCCCAGCACGCAGGAGCAGCCTTCATGCCTGCCAGTGGGCTGACATTACAGTGTACAACAAGCAGTGACCACTGCTGGGGTGTCTGCACATCACCTTGTGGGGTGCTATCCCAGCAGGTGGGTGCCTTAGTGGACTGTAGGGAACACCACAGTTAGACATGCAGCTACAGCACCCACATCTCCAAAGACAATGGATGTAGATAGGGTAACGTACTCCTAAATGGCTGGGCTCTTATAATCCAAACCTCCTGTTAAACGTACAGAGGTAAGCATGTGACTGCAAACTTGTGGGATAATACCTGTAGAAGGGTGTTTAGGTATCTGCAGGTGTTTACTAAGGTGTTGTAAGGGTCTAGTACCGTCCTTTATCTGTTATATTCCTCCTATTAATCCTAAATGTATAGTTCACGGACCAACAGTTAATTACCAGTTATTAAATAAATCAACAAACCACTTTAATTCTAACTTGATTTAAGCCAAGAGTTGTTTTCCCCTACAATAAGCACATGCACTCTCCTGTGTTTTCTACTTCACACCAATACACAGCCTTCAGCTAAAACTTAACTGTCTCAGGTTGGCTTTTTTTTTTGTTTGTTTTTTTGTTTTTTTTTTTTTTTATTTAGTCTCTTTTTCCTTCACCTGAGTGCACCTAAGACATTCAGGAAAACCAACTAGCTACACAGGTCACATTTGCTTCAGTACTCAGACTAATCCCAATAAAACTACAATAACTGCATTCCCCTCAAACGATGGCTCCAGAACCTGGACAAAAATAGATTATGTCTTTGAAACGTGGATATTAAGTTATTGGGTTAAACAAATGAAAATTTAAAGGTTTAACATATATGCTAGCGTTCTTTTAGTGTGGCTTCTTGACCAAGATGCTTTAATGAATTTAATCCACTAAATCAGATCGTTGTGTCAGGAAATTCCAACTAAAGACTGTATAATAGATTGGTGTGTTTCACCCCCTGCAACTGACTAAGTTTAGTTTTAGCTCACTCCTTGAGCATCATTCATATTTATTTCTTTTTTAAGCAGAGTAAAAAAATACAGTTAAATTTAATTTTGCATGGTTTGCTTCTGCTAATGACATTCCTGTAAATTAGAAGTAACCAAGAATCCTTTCCCATGTTTTAACTTCACAGATTCTCAGTGTCTTTTGAAAGCACAGGAACTGCAAAATCTAATGCTTGGGTTACAAAATGTAGGGTCTCATTTTCAACCCTATATCCTAAGCAGACTTGCATAAAACTATACATTGACAGATCTTGTAATCAAGGACACTGAACAGGCATGCTTATTGATCTGTGACTTGGACCCTCAGAACCTTTTGAAGGCTCAAAAATACTAATGCTCATTAAGTGTAAATGTGCTTCTAAAATCTGTTTTTTGTTATTTATGGGTTCCTAACTTTTGATTAGTCAAAAGAATTCTTTTTCCTTTCTTCTGTAATCAAGATTACAGCATTCTCTATTACGCATCAGGATTTTTAAAACTAAGCTTACAAGAGACATTATGTTACCTTAGCAACTACTTTTCAGAAGTCACTTAACTCTGCAAAAGCTGATATGCACTTAGAGTTTAAAATAATTTCTAGACTAACAACTGGCAACCACATTCTTCATTACAATTTCAGAAAGCCATAAAGACTTAAATTGGAAAAAGAGAATCAAAATATGAGTCTTATGTGACAAAAACATCTGTTCATAGTACACTAACTGTTTTCACAGCTATTCATAGAAGTGCCATACAAAGAAAGTGGCTAGTGGAAAACAGAGTAACCTAGAATTCCAAGAATACTACAGGGAAAAAAAAAAAAGCAGTTAAAAACACATATAAAAGGCAGTTATTAAAATGTAGTCACAGCCAGGGAAACAAACACCTTACCCGTCAGTCACATGCCCCCTAATTTCAACCAACACTGATCCAATGCGATATTTATTACTCCCCACTTCTGCTGAGTATCTATACTTCTTTTCTTCCACGTGCTAGGAAGAAAACTACTCTCCAGTTTCTCCTGTCCAGAAGGTACCTTGCCCCATTAACAACCAAATTCTTACCCACTTTACTGTTTATATACTCCATCCGTGGAACAGGGAATCAAAGAACTGGAAATCCTTCCTTTTCTCCATAACTTAACTGACTGCTTGAAACAGGCACAGCAAGATCACTTCTCCAATTAACATTTACCCAGAGCATTCCACCTCCTCATTTCCTTAACACATCTGAGTCACAACCACCAGCTCATGTGACTGGAAATTAATCTACTAAGGCAAAAACGCACGAAGTTACACAGTCATTTGACACATAACGTCACAGAAACCTACATATGGGAAAGCAGAGTTTCTCCTTGAAGTAAACTATTAAAGACAGAGAGGACCCATAGACAGATGCAGTGTCTTGTATTAAGTCCACAGATACACTATGAAAAAAATGAAGGCTTTCAGAGAGACAAGCTCTTCTTTTAGATTTAGTCTTAATGTGTTATAAATGTTACCAGGCCACTTATTGCCTCTCCCCCTTTTTCCAGGAGGGTTACTCTTCTAAAGAAAATGAAAGATGAACTCATTCTCCTTGAATAATTATAGATTAGGCTTGTAAGCAAAAGCAGGACAGAATATTCCTTCCCTCCTTATCAGGATGTTTTGTACCTTCTCTGCCCATTTCTTATTTAAAGTCAAAGCCTGGTAGATAAAATAAACCCCCAAATTAGGCCCTTAAATTGATTTCTTATCAGCTGAATACTGCTTGAATAGTTTCTCTTTAAACAGTACCTCTGTTATTTTGAAACCTGACTATCAGTTAAGCAGTAGTAGGTAACTTCAATATCTGTATTAGTCTTTTAATCACAATTCAATAATCCCTGACAGGATACGAAGGCTTCTGCCTACCTTGCCTATTTGGTTTGTGCCACACCGTTCTGTCAAACTCCACCTGCTGGATGATAATCTTTTTACAACAAGCCTAGAGCAGTTTTTGTTTCACCAGTGTTGATACAACACCTCGATATAATGATAAAACTGATTGAACAGTGTATCTGATTATATATTCTTCATGCTTTTCCTTTCTACCATTCTCTATCAGGACTACAATCAAGTGAAATCTCCGGGCAGATCATTTTTTCTAAACATCTCAGGTTAATTGGCCATACTCATAAGTAAAATAAATTTCTGGTAATGTAGTTACACACAGGAAAAGTCATAGTTGCATGTCACAGCTAAGGAGAAAAAAATTAGACTTCATGCTTTTCAACCTCTGATAGTAGAAACGCAGAAAGTAATGTGCAAATGTAAGTTTTAACTGAAGTACCACATTTAATTTTTCAAATGCTATGAGATAAAAGAACAGGTTAAAAAATGCCTTGGAACTCCAAAAGACTACCAACTCCAGAGAATGCAAATTCTAAGCTAATTAGTTAATTTGAAACATACACATCCATCTGAGTGCTAGATGACTCTTCTGCTTATTGCTCCTTTCAGTGAATTAAATCAAATCACAATAGTTACATTCTGTTAAAGGTACAATGAAGCCTTCAACTTTACTTACGGCTGAGCTCTACTATTCATGTTCAGAAATATCTCTGGCTTTGAGGGTGGAAGGAAAAGTAATTGAATTTGAGGGCTGCATATGAAAGGTAGCAACCTGAGATATTTTTATAATAGAGAACTTCACCACTTCCTTATACACAAGCCAAATATTCACATCTTGAGTAACTGATTAATTTTTTACCCATGATTTCCAACCCACAAAACCACATTAAGTTAGATCTATGTATTTGCTGATATTTTCTCGTATAGTAAGTCTTATAAATACACTTACTATCAAGTATTGTTCTTTATTATGAAATACCATCCTTTAGGAATAATTCAAAAGCTGGAAGAGGCATTACATTTGAAAACAGTAATTTCATCAGAAGTTGGGAAAGCGTATATTCACTTAGAAAACTGCTCATATATTTCTCTCAAAACAAAAAATGAACACCATTTTACACATCTGATGTTGTAGCATAGGCAATAAAAAAACACAAAAAAAGCCTGCTGCGTGCATTATTTCAGAATTTTGTCACAAAATAAGCATAAGACTATCTGCAAATGAGAAGTTTTACAGAAGTTAAGTCAACTATTATTTCTGATGAAGAACTATTTTTTTCCTCTTGAAAGAAGTCCATCTATTTTTGCCAGATCTCTAAATGAAACTGTTGCAGAACCTCTCTGGGCTGGTCTTGCCTAAGAAAAAAAGAGAAAAAAAAACACATAGGGCTAATTTTAAGTTAAAATCATTTGTGAAAAGCTTTTAAAGCCTCAATAATTTAAAAAGTACCTTCAAACAGAAAATAATTCAGCTTCACATTACCTGTGTTTCATGGAACTTCCAGCCAATCATGTAGTAGATCTGAAATGTGGCAGGTACTGAGCCATCGCTATTTCCATACATTTCTGTTAGTGTCAGAAGGGAGAGGCAAAAAGTTACACAGAACATCAGTTCTACGAAATACTTGGTTCTCAGAACACTAGAACTAAGTAAGACATGGTCATCACAATGACTCTTGGTGAAAGAATTGGGACAATAAAAATATCTCATACCAGTGCATCAACATAGTTCAAATACTCTCATTATAATTAACGTTAAAAATATCTGTACGATAATGGTATTTTGTTCTATTCCAAAATGTTTGTGTTTTTTTTTCCTACATACCGGTCAGAGAAAAAACATAGAAAATGCGTTCTTAAAGTCATTTCAGATTAACTCACTACCTCTCAAATACTTACCTTGGTATATTGCAGCAGCTGCCAACATTGTCTCCCTGTGTAGCAGAGGTTTTCTATTCCAAGCGCAATTACTCTCCCCCATACCTAAAAATATGTTTTAGCTTTAAGAAAAGAAGATATAGCATATGCCATGAGTTAAGTGTCATGCACTAATGACAGATTTTTATTAAACCAGAACATAGAATCCTCTGAATCTCACTGTAAGAGAGCGCAACATACCACAAATAATTAGGTGAGTTTCTTACCTATAAGAATCCAAGCCTTTTAATGCCAATGCTTTGCAATTTACAGATTGTATTGCTGGGAATGATTTCAAATTATTACTTCTTCAGCCTGAGTCTTCAAACATTTAGGTTTTCTGGTATAATTTACTTTAAGCACGAGTACACAATGTTTACCCAGACATGCCACTCATGTTTTTTTCTTAACAGATAAGCATCAAAATGAATATCCCAAGAGATTTTTAATAAAAAATAAGATAACCACAATTCTAATCTCTTAAATAACTTACTGCATCTGAATGTTTCTGCAGAGAATGAAAGTTTTATTTCCATTAAGGAATTACTCTAAACAGCAGCTGATCCAGAGTGAGAAGATGCCCTGAATTGCTCTGTAAGTAATACCTGACTGCATATGAAAGACTATATTACAATCCACAACAAATGCAATCAGAATACTAACTCAATTGTTAAGCATCTTAATTGTTTTTTGCATTCAGCTACTGGAGAGAGTCCAGCGGAGGGCTACGAGGATGATGAGGGGACTGGAACATCTCCCCTACGAGGAGAGGCTGAGGGAGCTGGGCTTGTTCAGCCTGAAGAAGAGAAGGCTGCGAGGGGACCTTATAAATGC